AGTGGTACATTGGGTGATGATAAATCACATCAAATGGTGGATGAATATTGGCCATTGCTTTAGTTAGATGAGTATATTCAATGAACTAATTTTAAATATTTTGAAGTGGTAATTAGAACTCAACAACCAATTTTATTGGAGCTGCTTGGGTTGGCTAAGTTATAAATAGTCCAGTATGTCAATAACTACATATTCCTTTCTTTGCCCTTCTATGCTTATGAGAGAAAGGGAATTAGTACAGGAATGTTCTAGGTGATGTTGGCAATGGTGAGACAATAAGGGTTATCTCAATGGGATTTGAATTTTCAGTTAGCTACTTTACCTAACCTATTTATAAGTGCATTTCTAAGAGACTCTTTAAAATTAGGCTCTTCGAATTTGCCACATTAGTATTTTTCAATAGCCACATAAGCATTTCTTATAGTCACATCAGTATTTTAGAGTTTCTAAATTTTAGCTATCGCATGTATTCCAATAGTACATTTCGCTCTCCAAAAATATTAATATTTTTAAAATTTAAAATAAGTTTATTTTTTAATATAGCCGTTAATGCATTGTTTGGGTCAGCCAAACAGTACCTAAAACGGCTATAATGTCAATAGGAATATTGAAAATGAAAAAAAATCACTTTTTTTTCAATTTTTTAAAACTTTTTTTACCCAAAAAAGCCTTTAAGGCACTGTTTATGTCAGCCAAACAGTGCCTTAACGGCTCTTTGGTTCAATTATTTTGAGGAAAAAAAAAAAAAAAACACCAAAGTAAACAAAAAATTTGAATTTTAGTTAAATATGCCCGAATAGTGTTCTGGACTCGTACAGTGTTCTAGCTTGAATTTAAAAAAATAAAAGAAAACAAAAATGGGCCCACGAAAAGTGAACCCAATTGCCAACCCAATCTTGCTTTCTGGCGACCTCCATCAAGAGCCTAAACTTGGGACCCACTTTTCCCATATTCCATTAGCGCATTGCATCTTAAAAAATTGGGCTACTTTCGCCAAAAAGAGCACTAATGGAGTTGCTCTAAGGGCAAGAGTTTTGGAGACTAGCAAATAATGGTCGGGAAGAAGTTTCAAATTGATGTGATGCAACTTATGTCACACGGACAACGTTCCTCTCCAGTGCTGGGCCTCTCCTGCACAAAATTTAATGGGTGAGATTACATCATCACTAGTAGGTCTCATTTATCAATTCAATCTCATCCATTGAATTTTGTGCAGGAGAGGTCTAGCGCTGGAAATGATCTTTGTCCATGTCACACAGCGAGAGTGCAAAAGTGACAAAATTTAATTTACATAGAGTAAGACCAGAACCAAAAGCGTGCACAAAGAGTGAGAGTAACACTCGTTTAAAAAAATTGTGCGACTTAAATACAATTGATGGTCATGCTATTATATATACTTTGAATCAAATTTATACTGGAGATAATTTCTTACAATATAGTAATAAAGATCGATTTGTAATATGGATTATAGCGTAAAGATGGGCTAGTCATCCCCACCACTCTCGGTTAATGGTATCATACTAGGATGACCTTAAATAGTAAATTTATTTAAATGTAGAAAATTTATTTACATCTCAATTTTATATGTTTTACCCAAATTTCATCTCTTAAGATACAATAAAAACCACAAATGCATGATACACATTTTAATGAAACAATAACACATTAGAGGTACTAATCATAAATTATTAAAGTGTTTATAGAAAAAAGACAGAAAAAAAAAAAAGAAAAAGAAAAGAAAGAAAGTATATGGATGCTTTTGCTTGACCTTAAGATTGAGAAGGGAAAATGAACAAACTAAATTCGGTAGTCCCATTTGAATTATTTTCTTCCTTTAAAATATTGAACTTAATAAATTGTTCAAAGAAAAAAGAAAAAGAAAAAGAAAAAGAAAAAAAAGTGACTTAAAAGGAGAAGCTTCTACTGCACTTCTTACCACTTAATTTCCAAAAGTAAATTCTGAGCAATTGACTGGCCAATTATTTAGATTGATGACCTTTTTTTCTGATTGGAATAGTCAAGACATTGGATTATATATATACAGGAGTCTGACAATTGGACAAATTTGATTAATTCTATATGAGTAGAAAATGATGTTAATGACCACAATAAATATTAATAACATAATGAAAACGTTAGCTCAATTCATATGAATTAGTTCAAATTTCGAACTCCAAATCATTACCCCCCTCTCTCTCTCTCTCTTTATATATATATATATATATATATATAATTTTATTTCGACTTTCGAGTAGAATTATAATCAAGTTTATTGATTGATTGACTACTTAGATGGAATCATGGAGAGTCTATGGAAAAGTCTTAAATCAAGTTATGCTTAGATTTCGTAAAAAGCAATGCTATACAATCTAAGAAGTGATGGTATAACTCTCTAATCTCTATTGACTAATGTGGATACAATTGCTTGAATATATTGCAAAGCCAAAAGATCAAAAGGGGACAATTAGTTCACCTAAAGAACCATAGAGAAGAAAATCCTTTATTGTCTTTTTTTAGTGGTTTGGCCAATCAATTCTCTCACTTTTCCACAACTTTTGCTTTCTATTCTGTTTTTTTTGGGTCAAGTGTAATTTGTTGCGTGATCAGCGGAAGAATTGTTTTCAGTCTTCGAAGTGTAATATCCGTCAAATTCATTTGGTATTTCAATATCTGCTCAAAGACAAAGTTAAAAGGAAAAACAATAATAAAGAAAAGAAAAGGAAAGAAAAGGAAAGCATCCAAAGTTTTATTATTATTATTAATTTATTATTATATGGAGTTTTGACTACAATATTGTTTGGGCCTTGGGAGTCATCTCTGGGTAATATACTGTTATTATCTCGAGGTCTATTTTCATGAAATTGAGGGATTTGTTAACCAATTAGCCAAAAAGAAAGGTAGTATTTAGTAGTTTTACTTCGGCCAAATTACACAAACTCTTCTATACTATAAAAAAATTGTAAAATGTCATTTTTTACTATTTTCTTTAGGAACAAAACTCTTAACTTATCAAAAGTAGCAAATTACCCATATGTGATAGCTAGATGTTAGTATTCCAATGTTAAAGTCACGCGCTTAATACATGGACTGATTGCTTTGATGAAAATGTCTTTACGCATGCAACAAACACTCTCAGGTTTTTTTTTTTTGTAAAATTAATTACAAAGGGTAAAATGGACGGATATTTTTATCAAAACAATCTGTTCATATATCACATGGGTTGGACATGACCTTTTAAACACTAGAATTGCAACATCTAGATGCTAGATGAAGTAATTTGTTACTTTTGATAAATTGAAGGTGTTTGTTGTCCAAAAAAAAAAAATAATAATAATAATAATAATAATAACAGACAACTTTTGATAGTACAAGGAGATTTAGTATAATTTCGCCTTTTACTTTTGCCACTGATTTTTCCATGTAGGCACTTGTATTTTGATTTTGCATTTGAGGGGAGATAAATTGGTTATGTTTAGGATTGCAATTTATAAGAAGGTATTCAATACATTAGAAGTACTTGACATTTTTATGTTTAGGGTTGCAATTTATAAAAAAGTATACAATACATCAGAAGTACTTGAAATGTAGTAACCCTTCAACCTATCATTTAGGTGAAAATTCTCTGCTTCGAACACTACTACCAAGAAAAATAAAGAGCAGTGCACTTACACCCTCCATTAACTAACGGTCTCCCAAAACATTTAATGCAGGTTTTTAGTTTTGTTTGGGCTTATCTCTTGTAGGCTCTCTTTTGGGCTTGTTTGCTCAGTCCAATAGACTGGTTTGGCCTAATGGCCCTTCTTGTAATTAGTCCCATTTTATTTTTATATTCAGTAGCTTTAAAATCCAAATAAAAAAAGAAAAACAGAGTTTTCATTATCAAGAAAAATAAAAGGGGTACTACGTGTCAAAATGTCCCAAAGTATTACTATACTTGTAATTTAGACAATGACATACTAGACCCCTAGATTTAGTCCCGTGTAGATTAAGTTATCATTTTTGTTTGGATCCACCTAACAAGTCGGATAAAAAAAGTCTTGCACAGCAATTTGTGAATTCGCTTAGGATGTAATAATCCCTGTGAAGTCAAGAAGAAACTTGATCTCTGTGAGAACAGTCTGTGTCAGTATCAGAGATCAATTTAGATGACTAAAACATGAAATGATGGAGAGGTCAGAATGAAAGTAAACAGATATAATGGTGAATATTAAAAACGAAAGGAGTATGTGACCATTGGATTTTTGAAAGTAATTTTGGGAGAGAAATAAAATGCTACTTTTGGACGTTTGTAACATTAAATGTACAATGAGGACTGTGAAATGGGACAGTGATGGCTTGTATCCAATTGTCCAAAACAAAAATAGGATGGGAACAATAGACATACAACATATTGGACCACTTATTTGGAACTGTTCATTTTTTTGGAGCCAAATATCTCTTGCCCACCAATGAAGGAAGAGATTTGGACCACTTATTTGGATCTGTTCTTTTTTTTGGAGCCAAATATCTCTGGCCCACCAATGAAAGAAGAGATTTTATCCATACCAAGTAAATCTACGGGTCACATTCCAAACCTATTTATCTACTTTATGAATAGTACAGAATCATTGGCACCCATTCCAAACTCACTCATCTCCTTTCTAAATAGGGAAGGCCCGGCCGCCCGCCCGCCCCTAATGAGGCAGATTTGGTAGCCCATAAATGGATTTAGAACGAAAATAGTAAAATAATTGAAAATCCGAAGCGGGTAAGAGGCGGGGCGGATTTAGTGATGAACCCGCCCCGACCTCTGTCCCTCAAACGTTTGTCTCAGTAGTCCCAGAATTTTGGAATAAGCATCCATTGTAATTGTGGATGAAGCAAATGACAGAACATAGGAATATAGTTCAGTGCAAATTACAAATTACATCTTCTAGTTCACTATCAAAGAAACAGCTAATCAAAAGCACAAGCAGCAATTCATGAAGCATTCAATTAAAAACTCTTTAGGCAGCAATACATGAAAGGAAAAATAGTACAGAATTTACTCATAGATGCATTGTATTGGATGTACTTTTAATACAAATTGTAATGATTGCAAGTTAATTGCAAAATTGAATATGGATCAGTGGGTATGGTTATAAGCATTACAAATGAAGATAAACGTACATGTTTAGATGTTTATTAAACTTATATACAAGATGATATGCCAATTTAACTCTAATTATGGAGCTGATGTAAGGTTATCCTATACGTGTCAGTCATTTTATGTCCAACAATTACCGAGGCCAAAAGCTGCACCTTCGCCATGAAAGATTATCCCCAGCTAGCCGAATAGTGAAGAGAGTAACATCCAAGCACCAATTATTGGAAAGGTAATCAGAGCAGAAACCTGGAATGTGCAAATTCAAATTAGAATGGTGCCGGTTCCACCGGAATGCACGATTGTATATATAGTATACACTTGCATAAAATTCATTAAAAGGAAGAATAATGGATTACCACAAAAAATACGACTTCCTTGTTAGCAAAAGCTGCAGTAAATTCATTTTTTCCCATTTCCTGCTTAACAATACCTTGCAACTAAATGGAAAAGTGAATCAAAATTAGCTACTACAGTAGTAAGATTTGTCTAACTATTATCAATAATTGGGTGGTTTTCAACACATGCTCAAATTATTCAATGATATAAAATAGAAAGGTGAATACAAATTGCTAAAGACAGAGGACACACATCTCTTCACAAGCAAGGAATTACTAAAAGGCCCATAGAGTGCCCGTGTAATTAACTTGCTATCTACAAACAGCTCCCCCGAAATTGTCTACAAATTCAAACCGGCTGAAGAGCAGAACTACTATTGGTTCCTTGATTGAACACAACATTAATTCTAATGTAAGGTTCTGCTGCATGCTTCCAGTAAGTGATTGTGCTTTCATTCCAATGCTTTATGTTTATCTGGGAAAATGGAGTCAAGTGAAAGGACAGTTATGTCTTGATACGTTGGTATAAATTTTCAAAATAATCCCAAAAGGGTTACGTAGATTTGCATGAAACTGGATTGAAGAAGCCACTGAGGAGCTGAAGTGATTTGATAAGGAGCACCTTTCACACTGTCAATTTATAGATAATCATGGTCCGAAAGTCCACTGCAAGAGGTAAAATACAGACAAGGGTTCACATAACAGTTGCAGTTTCTTCCAAACCTTGTGACTTAAAAAAGTAGGTAGATACCGTTACCCGTGTCCCAAAATCAAAGATTGTACTTTTGAAAGTTGTCGCTAAATTCATACTTTCCAAGCAAATTATTGGATGGCCATTCATGCTTGAATCACCAACTCTTTTTGGCTTTCCACCTCCATTCATTTCTTGGACCCAGTATGCTTAACCTCCCCATCATTCTCCATCTCTTTGAATGGAGAGCTTCATGGTTATTTCTAAGGTGTAAAAGGCTTGAGACAAGGTAATCCTGTATATTCCTTTCTATTAGTCATAGCCATGGAGGTCTTCAATTCAGTTGTATCCCATACCATCTCATCTAAACCCTTTAAATTTCATTGGAGATGCAAAAAACTTTCCATTACCCACCTTTCCTTTGCTGACGATTTTATTATCTTCTTTCATGTTGACTTACAATTTGTTTCGACCCTTAAACATGCAGTTGACCTATTCTCTGATCTCTCTGGTCTTATGATTAACAAGGACAAGAGCTCAATCTTCTTCTCCAATACTGATCCTCACATACAAGCTAGTATCCTTAATCTTCTGGGAATTAACGCTGGCTATCTTCCTATAAGACATCTTGGTGTGCCACTTATTTCTACCTGACTTAGAGCTACAGACTGCAGCGTTGTTGTCAACAAAATCACCTCAAGAATCCAGCACTCGACAAGTAGAAAACTTTCTTATACAGGTAGATTGCTCCTCATCAAAATCATCCTCTGCAACATTCAACACTACTGGGAAAGGCATTTTATCCTTCCCAAGCAGGTAATCATTCAAATTAATCCAATCTTAAGGTCCTTCCTATGGTCAGGTACTGATTTGAAAAGAGGTGGAGCTAAGGTTGCATGGGCTAGGGTCTGCAGGCCCAAAGCTGAAAGAAGCCTTGGCTGCCTGATATTGAGTCGTCTAACAGAGCATCAATCTATAAGTTCCTTTGGCAACTCAAAGTCAACAGCCCCCGAAGTCTTTGGTCTAAGTGGGTTCACACCTACTTAATTAAGAATAGAAGCCTATGGTCTACTAAAATTCCACAAAAGTGCTCATGGTGTTGGGCCGTTGGCGGAAGATTCTACAGCATAGACATGTTGCAAATCTAATAAAGCACAGAGTTGGAAATGAAAAACTTACCCATTTTTGGTATGACAACTGGTGCCAAGCATGCCCTCTGTTTCACAGACCCACAACCCCCCCCCCCCCCCCCCCAAATTGACCAATTTGCTACCCTCGATCACTTCATCACAGGTAAACTCGTGGTCATTTCCGGCAAAGTATTTTAACCTCATCCCATACTTATTGTCTCTTCCACCACCAAACCCCTCGGTTGATGACATTGTACTATGGACTCCCTCATCTAATGGTGTGTTTTTCCTTAAGCATATCATTCCTTTCTTTTTTCCACCATCCACTCCTGTTATCTGGTCCAAGATCGTATGGAGTCAACCATCAATTCCCAAACATTGTTTCATCACCTGGTTGGCAGTACATAACAGACTTCCTACTCTGAACAAAAAGTGTCACCTACCCCCATATCCCAAACCTTTGCCCTCTCAACTGGAGTAATGGAAACCAGTTTCTTGCTGCGAAAATCTCCTTCCAAGCTACAATATATCATATCTGGGCTCAGCGTAATTCTAGGATCTTTTGAGGAACTGTATCAACTCAATCTCACATCCTCCACTGAATCATTGATGATGTCAAAGGGAAGCTTTTATCTCTCCAATTGAGAGACAATCTCACTGCAAGACGGCTCATTCAGGACTGGGATTTACTTCCTCCTTGCTTGAGATCTCCTCCTCGTCGTCCTGAAATTGATAACTGAGGCGATTGCCTCCATTGCGATACAGAGATCACCGGATTGAAGAAACCTTAATGGGTAATTGATTCCTAACCGCTAACAATTTGTTGCCTGCTTGGGTGGGGCTTATTTTGAACTACTGAATGACTGGGCTTATGGTTTAGTCTTGGGCTTGTAAGGTTGTTTTCTTTTCACTCTTATCTTGTATGCCTTTTGGGCTTTCTTGGGCCTTTTTCTCACTGTACATACTCATTTATATATACAAATTGCTTCAGTTTCCAGGAAAAATAAAGGGAGAGATGTTGAAGAAGCGTGAAACATTAAAGCAGATGTAACTCTAAATATCACATATTATTGCATAATCATTATATACCATTGGAGAAATTATGTTAATTAGCCAAAACTAGAACATATACCTCGTGATGATACTTCTTTGCTGCTGACAAGATTCTTGGTAAGTGATGAAAACCTTGACACAAGTAGGATCCAAAAGCAGATCCTTTGTCAAATAAAAATGGATCCAGCATCTCTCTTAACTTTTGATAAAGATTTCCAAAAGGGGTTTTAATGAACTATGAGCCACATAAAACATTAGAATTGGTTAAAACAGAAATGTAAAAGAAAATATAACAACAATGAGGAACTTTTCAGCTCTTAATGCTTGATAATCCATTGCTAGTGGTAGATGACAACAGTTTTATGGATTTAAATTTCAACAATCTTTTATGAAATTTGTGAATTTGAGTAACCAAGAAGAATAGATAAAGTGTGTCAAATATAAATGTATTTGCATTACTACCTTCAAGAACATGCATCTTCCGGAGCTTACTTGTCTTCTAACCTTCCATGATCTCATCTGAAAAAAATAAAATTCATCCTCATTTCCTTGCACAGATTTGGCATATAAACAAGGGTTATTATCAAAGAAAATACTTTTGAGATTTGAAGAGCCTGCTCAAGGTGCTGAATTTGAATCCACTGTTCAGTTACAATGTCAGCCATCTGCACCCAAAAAGATAAAAATAATAATTTAACACAATGAGCATGAAATTTTCTCAATTACTTGTAGAAAATTCACGTCTCAGGAACAGTAACCCACACAGATGCCAATGCACAATTTTCTAACTGAAGTATTGATGCCTGAAATTGCAGGCTTTAGGATAGTCATATGACTTTACAACTGGTTTTCTAATTAAAAAGTTAAAGAATCAAATCCCATATAGAATACAAATGAATAACATGTTAAAAAGATATAAAAAAAATGTATCTTCAAAGAGTCCTGCCTTTGCTTCTTCTCTCTCTCTCTGTTTGTCTCTTCCTTAAAAGTCAAGTGTTTGTCCCAGCTATACAAGTTGGTGGGAGGAGAAGGCTAATGATAGACCTAACCTTTGGCATTAATTTGCAGAAGTGGTGTCTCTCATGCCTGAACTCGCATCCCATTGCTTCTCAACCCGAGCTTTTTCCCATTGAACCAAGTAATGATCCCGCTCTCTCTCACCGCACACACAAATGTATGTATTAGAAGCTATATATAATAACTATAGCCAAAAATGATTTATTCAAGCACCAACAATATATATTAGTTATCCAAAGCAAAGTACACCACTTTGTTTCTGAAGTGCACATGCAATTCATCTTCAAGCCTACTCTTTTAGAAGGCTGTTTTAGCATATTTATTTATCTTTCTATAATAATATGTAGCTCCCTTCCTCTCTCTCTGAAGTAGAAATTTGTAAAATGAGTACATGTTTCTTTCTGTGGGTTATTAGCAGAATTGACAAAGAAAACTTTTAACAATTCATGAAATTTAGTCATGCATATGGGACACAAAGTATTGAAGATGAATGAGGACAAATAACAATCATTAACCATTAAGTAACTTCTCAATGATCATTTTCATTTTCATCTGTCTTATTTCTTTCAATATGCTACAATTTCAGACCCTTAAAGTAGTTCCGAGCTAATTTACAATCAATATATTGGCCCAACTTGACCCAAGGCTTGTTACAAACAATCCTAGATGCAGATTGAAAAGTATAAAAGGAAAAGAGACTTCTGATAAGAAGATTACCGACCATATCAAAGTCATAACTACCTCGTGTTTCCTCTCTAATGTATTTGATTAAACAAGACAGTTCATTACTTCTCTATTATTAATTATATTAGGAAGAACACTCAAGGCATACTAAAGGAAGTAATAGAAAATAAATGGCTAAGAAAATGCAAAGATTAGTTTTAATTCATACCAAAACCTATATTCTCCACATATTAAAACATCAATATAATAATTAGAAAAATTAATTGCTACTGTTATGAACTAATTCATCTGCAAACAAAGACGAATGAATGAATCAGAATACTCACCTTTTCAACTTTTGAAGTCACCATTTCCAATCTGTTCTCAGCATCTTGTGCTTTTAACTCTAAATTATGAAGCTCAAAGTTGTTCTTTCTGGAAGCAGCCCAAAGCCGTCGCACCTAAACACCCCCATGTCTACTTTTTAAATAAGGTGACCAGTCAACTGCAAGTAACGTGAGCATGCAAATTAAACAGAACAGTACCAAACCTCTTCTTGTAGCAGATTAAGCCTTTCATCCGCATATGAATAGTCACCCTGGAGCAGACATAAAATCATGCTACATTTCATAAGTCTAACACGACATGCATATACTTTTTCCTTTTAAGAGCATTATTGTCTTTGTTACAAGGACTTAGATACATGTCTACCTGTCTTGTCTACTTATAAAAGACAAAGGGACGTGGCTAGATTTTCAAAATGTGTAACTTTTTTTTTTAACCAACGGGGCCAGTGGCCTAGTGGTATCAGCCTCTTACCTCCCAAAGGGAGGTCAAAATGTGTAACTTTAGTAAATCTAGAAATACAAAGGAGGATGTAGTGAGGATTGAGAATCAAGAGGTACAAAAAAGTAAACATTTTTGCTACTTAGGCTCAATTATTCATAATGAAGGAGAAATTGGAGAGGATGTTAATCATAAAATCAAGGTAGGATGGGGTAAATGGAGGAGTGCATCTAGTATATTGTGTGATAGGCGTATCCCCTTACGATTAAAAGGGAAATTCTATTGAACGACTATTAGACAAGCCATGCTTTATGGCACATAATTTTGGGCAGCTAGGTAACAACATGCATAAAGTGAGTGGCAAAAATGCTAATGTTGAGATGGATGTGTGGCAAGACTAGAAAGGATAGAATTAGAAATGAACGCATTCGGGAGATGGTTGGAGTAGTACAAATTGGAGATAAAATAAGAGAAAATCGGTTAAGATGGTTTGCAAATGTGCAAAGTAAGACCTTTAAATCCTCTGGTTAGGAAAAGTGTCATAGTCCACATTAAGGATAATACTAGGCGAAGAGGGAGACCAAAGTTAACATGGGTAGAGTTAGTAAGGAAGGATATGATAGCATGTGGATTGACTAAGGCTATGACCCTAAATAGAGTGGAATGGAAACAAAGAATTCATGTAGCTGACCTCAAGTAGTTGGGAAAAGGCTTGATTTTTGTTGTTGTATTGTTTTGTATGCACACTTCTCATTTTCAAACGGACATGTAACAAAGGAACATTATGGGAAAATTTAATGCGAAGTTGTATAGTAAGTTAAGTAACAACTAGACACCCTCGTAGTGCATGTTAAAGTAGGCATGTCAAAATGCATATTCCATATCCATGCCCATGTAATGTAATATCAGACATAGGTACTTCATGCGTAGAAGAATACATCAATGTTTAGTTCTGCTTCATCTAATGGATGAATGAAAAAAAAAAAAAAAAAAAACATATAGATTTACACAACTTCAGAGACAGATGGATGCTAAATTAGAACCAAGGGAAGATAATTTTTAGGAAGCATATAAACTAAGAAGCACGGAAATAGATAGGGACACGGACACCACGACACGGCAAATCCTAAAAAATTAGGACACGGATACGGAAGGGACACAGCGAATAATAAATATATATATATATATGATGTTATACTTTAAGAAATTAAGAGTAATAGTACTTATAAGAAAAAAAAAAGAAAAAGAAATTAAGAGTAATAGTATCTTTTATCAACCTACTAATGAAAAAAAAAAAAAAAAAATTTGAGTTTTGTGGGGAAAAAGGAAGAAAGACAAAAGGAGGATTAGGGTGTTGTTAGAAAAAGAATTAAGGGTTAGTTAAAAATAAAGGTAAGAATACATAGAAGAGAAGAAATTCATCGAAACGACGAAAAATATTGTTGTGAAAGAAAAAAAAGAAGTATCAAGGGTTTCTGAAGAAAGAAAATAAGAAGAGGAGGAGAGAGCCAAAGTTGATCGTGCAAGAGCTTGAATCTTTGAATTAAAATATAAGCCTAAATATATGATTATTTTAATATAAATTTGTTTTATAAAAAATAACTCTTAAGTAATTATGCAACGACTATCATATTAAGGGAAGTTATTAAACAATTCCTCATGTTTACCATATTATGGGAAGTTATTAAACAATGCCTCATTTTTACACTTCAACTCAACTTTCTTACAAATCCCCAAGAATGCACTTATCAAAAAAATAATAATTTAAATCCTTGTCCTTATCCAACTTGAGAATAAACTACTACATACAAACTGTCGTTCCTCTTTTCACCTTACATTCCCTCTTTTTGCTCTAATAGATTTCTTGCTACTTATAAAAAATAAATTAAAAAAAGAAAAATAAAACAGGTAAAAGTGATACCATATCATCTTTACCTGATAACCCTAAAATTTCTTTCTTCGGCAAGGGAATGCAAACATTAGAAAGAGGCGGTAAATTGTAAAAGAGCTTAACCTGACCCTTGGCATATAAAAATGGAGGAGCTATTATCTAGAACCGAAAACTAATCTTAGAAATGAATAATACCAAGAAGTAAAATATAATTAGTATTTCATGGCTAGAGACATGATGGTTTCATAGTGCGATTGACCATCAGCGTACATTATACAGGAATATAAACAAGTTCCAGAACAATTTTTTTTCTTCGAAAAAGATAGATGCAATTGCCCAATATGGAAACTCATATATCATCTGGTATACGATACACTTATATTAGCATACATGTACTGGAAGCCAAACCTTTAAAGTGAACAAGGCAGATTGCAGATGATCAATCTCATGGCTCATCTCCTCAATTAGCCTCTCAGTTTCTTTGAGACGGAGACTTTTAGCATTTAAGTCTTGGATAGTTTCTCCAAGGATGGATTCTGCATTCAAACATATCACCATAAAATTAACATACCACAAGAATAACCTTCTTCAAAGTAGACAAGTTTAATCCTTTACACACACACACACACAAATATATATTATGTAGATAGATCTGCTCCATTTGATTCACAACAATATTTAGAAACACTTAGCTCAATATTTTATACTAAGTGCTTTCATAAACTGAAACTGGAAATCAACATTGATTAAGCATTTATAATTTCTTAAATCAAACTAAATTCAACTCAACTTAACAAAGAGTTTTCTCAACTATTTGAGGATCCGGATTCGTCATTCCACTCTGTGTAGCCTGTAGGTCCATTTACCTCGATCAAGATCAATTAAGAATTACCATTTGAAATCAAAGTAATGCTGTACATACCAAATTTGAAACCATAAATTAAAATGTAGAATATGCGGAAAGTTATTAGTTGCTTATCATTTAAGAAAAAAAATTCTTTGTCCTTTGTACACCCAAAAAAGCCACTACCTCGTCCTTCAGTCACGAATTCATGTGTTGCATGTAGGCAAATATTCTGAAAAAGAAGATGCGTGAACTTGATTTTCGATTAAGATTGAAATCACTCCATGACAACAATGAATTTGTCCCATAAATTTGAGAGGCTACAATCAAATTTCACAACCACGTTTTCGTTCTCTTGAAAATTAACACATTTGAGTCACATTTTCGCATACGCATATACATATACATATATAAATTTTAGGTATATACATGTATATATAATTTACGTGTTGTGTAATGATTGAACAGATCATTACCTAATCGAGTGATCTTGAGCTTCGCCTCTTCCAAATCGCAGGTCAAACGGTGGTTTCCACATGACGTTTGATTTCCGATCTGAGAAATCAGAACCTTCGAATCGGAGGGACAGCAAAGAGATAGCAATATGGCGGGAAGCAAAACCAGTGAGACCTCCATTGTTGTCTGTCCTGCTTGTCTTCTCTCCTCTGCTCCTTCATACGTAACTCAAATCACAAGTTTCTGAATTTACGAAAGAACCTTGTTTATTTCCGTTTTGACAATATAGTCCGGTAAAACGACTTCGTTAAATTACTCTCCAGTTTTACTTTATCCCTTTTGTTTTCAGAAAAATATAGGGTTTGCTTTTGGTTTGTACGTTTGCAAATAATTTTTAAGAATTCAGATAACATAAAACTATTGTTAGATAATAATTTTTTATAATTTTCTTAAAACATATATTTCTATAACTAAATTTTTTGAAAAACTAAGCCAAATAAAGATTTTTGTATGTTTTATATTTTCAGTTTCTAAGAATAGAAAACCATTTTTATAATTACAAACCAAACTAATACTTTATCATTTTGTTTTGTGAAATTTTTTTATATTATTTAGTCAAACAAATGTGTCAATTTTATTTGTCCATTTGTTTTACACTAAGTTAGGGAACGAACACACTAATTCCTAAAATATATTAGTGAAACATGACCACTTGTATCACATTTAAATAACTATAATGTATAAGCTATGTGGACGTAACAAAAAACTGCGATGAATATTTACAATAGAATAAAAACCATTGTAAGGAAACCTACAAACCTCAAAAAATTAACTCCAAAAATAAATTATCTCTAAAAGTTATAAAATAATAACCTAATTACTAAAAACTACTGAATATAAAATCTTTGTTTAGGTCTCAAACAAAAATTCTAAAATAATCAATAGGCCATTTATAAGACAGAAAAATGCAATTTCGGAACCCCTTAATAAAGATTTTTTGTGGCGACTATGTGGGCTGGTGTGTGTAAGCATGTGCAGGTGGCACTAGTAGGTTACTACACTGAACGAGATACATGTGAACAATCTCATATACTGTAGATGGGTAAGTGTTATATATAAATTCAACACTCTTTTATGACACAACACATTTTTAAGCCGTGATGGTTGTGAACCAACCAAAACTCCAGAGTTAAGCCTGCTTAACCTGGAGTAGTACCAGGATAGGTGACCCTCTGGAAAGTCTCTGGTCTGAGGGAGTCAAAAGCGAACAATATTATATTTGAGTAGGGTAAGACTCGTTACAAATGCTATCAGGCCAATAGAATTCCTAAATTAGGCCAAAGAATATGTGTACTTTATTTATAATAAATCAAATCTCACTTATCATATTTAATGGTGGTAGAAATATATATATTTTTTATTAATAAATAATTCTTCTTGCGCATGCATAATATCATAAAAATCAAATACTAATTATTTTAGTGGTGTTTAATTGTTAGGTTGTAAATGAATACCTCCCTTTTAATAAGTACGGGTCAGCTAATCATACACTGGCATAAGGTTTAGGTCTAAACTGAATTGACTGCCAAAGTATCCCGTAACTAAGGAGAAATGCTTCTATTATAAATTCTAATGGTGAAATTTATATAGAAGGAAAAGTAAATTTGAGTAGAATGTTTACCAAGCAAAAAACAGAAAAAAAGAAGAAGAGAGTTTTTGAAGCATGACCCGATTTTCAACTCATTGGTAGTGGTCCAAAAAGAAACGGGTTGACCCGTAAGTGGGCCCGCATAAATCTGGAAACTTCCACACCCTTCTCGTCCTTCCCCTGTTTCGAGACATATCTCTCGCTGCTTTGTCCTCTCATACTCAAAAATATATCATTCAATCTACCGCGATCAAGCACATATACATATATAATCGAACAACATATATATATATATATATATTTTTATATAATCGAAGTGCAAGAAGAAGAGTAAGGGAGAAGAAGCAGAGATCAGAGAAGATGGGTGTGGATTACTACAAAATATTAAATGTGGACAAGAATGCGAAAGATGAAGATTTAAAGAAAGCCTACAGAAAGCTAGCCATGAAGTGGCACCCAGATAAGAATCCCAACAACAATAAAGAAGCTGAGGCAAAATTCAAACAGATCTCTGAAGCATATGAGGTATTTATAGCCCCACTTTCTGTATATATGTATGTGTATATATATATATGTTTGTGTGTGTGTATATTCCTGAAAGACTGGTGTTCTGTGAATTTCTAACTACAAAAAGATCAGATATTGTAAATTGTTCTTCAATTTTAATTGAACCATCCAGTTATCTCCAGTTAAGCATTCTTGTGTATTTATAGAATTGCCACATTTCAAAATATCATATTTGGTTTTGGTATAGGTCTCTTATATAATTAGACATTGTTTTCACATTTTCAAACTCTGTCAGTGTCTCACCTTTGACGCATATTGTTTATGTGAATTAAGGATTACATGTATCTTAGAATTGGTGTGTTTATATGATTTTTTTCTAGGTTTTAAGTGATCCCCAGAAGAGAGCAGTGTATGACCAATATGGTGAAGAAGGGCTAAAAGGCCAAGTGCCACCACCAGATGCTGGTGGAGCAACCTTTTTCCAAACAGGGGATGGACCAAATGTGTTCAGATTCAATCCCAGAAACGCCAATGACATTTTTTCTGAATTTTTCGGCTTCTCGAGCCCATTTGGAGGGATGGGTGGTGGCGGCGGCATGAGGGGAAGTTCAATTTTCTCTGGTGGAATGTTTGGAGATGATATGTTTAGTTCATTTGGAGATGGTAGACCGATGAGTTCGGCTCCTCCAAAGGCATCTCCAATCGAAATTTCTCTGCCTTGTAGCCTTGAAGAGCTCTACAAGGGGACTACAAAGAAGATGAAGATCTCAAGGGAAATTGCTGATGCAAGTGGGTATGTTATTGTTATATTAACTGTGACTTTACCTACATATTTAGTACAATTTTTGTTAAGTATTGAATTGTTAGTTTGATGAAATTTCTATATTATATGTTGAATTCGTTTTCTTGAGGTAAATTATTGGTATTAATCACTTTTAACTTGTGAAGTAAATTATCGAAATTGATTTCGTTTTAAATTGAAATAATGATCTAACTTTTCTTAATTTTACATGATTTGGTGTTGCTCGATATCTATTGTTATAGCATTTTACAATGTCACTTGGATTGCACATTCACATAAACTTAATCATTTGCTTTCTAGTTGTTTCACTTAATCTTGCAACTTCTCATATACTGGTTATGAATGAAACTCTCATCCTATATATAGACATCCTATAAGAGTATAACCTCACTGGAATTTTTCCACAAACATCTAGATATTTACAAATTACAAGTATACATGATTCTCTAATCTTATAGAAGTTTCTACAATCTACAAATATATATACCAACCTACAAATATATATACCAACCATTCAATATTTTATAGATGGGAAACTCTAAAAATCAACTCTACTAATGTCTTGTAGATGCTCCTGAACAAACAAGTAGTTTCGTGCTCAAGTTAACTGACATTGTAATGTTTTGTTGTTGCACAGGAAAACCTTGCCGGTACAGGAGATTCTAACAATTGATATAAAGCCTGGCTGGAAAAAGGGAACTAAAATCACCTTCCCTGAGAAAGGGAATGAGCAACCAAATGTTATTCCTGCCGATCTTGTTTTTGTGATTGATGAGAAACCACACATTGTCTTCACGAGGGAAGGTAATGATCTGGTTGTCACCCAGAAGATATCACTTGCTGAAGCATTAACGGGTTGCACAGTCCATATCACAACCCTAGATGGAAGAAACCTAACCATCCCCATAAACAATGTGATTCACCCGAATTATGAAGAGATCGTACCGAAAGAGGGGATGCCAATGCCGAAAGATCCCTTGAAGAAGGGCAATCTGCGAATCAAGTTCAACATTAAATTCCCAACAAGATTGACAGCTGAGCAGAAGCCTGGAATCAAGAAACTCCTGCCTTCATGATTCCGATTGTGGTGGATAGTAAGTGAGCTGTACCATAAGACTTGTGTATACAAATTTTCTTTTACTTGGCTACTTCATGGATTAGTAGTGTTTTCAATGTGTTTATGTTTGTAATTGAAATAAATGAATATTAGCAAACCTTAGTTACTCGAGATGTAAAAAGGTTGAATAAAATCAAATTTGAAATTTGTATGTATAAAATCTTATTCGGTTAATTTTCGTACCGAGTAAGCATGATTAATATATTGTGATACTCGTATGGTGCTCGAAGTATGAGTAGACGAGTGACAACATTATTGATTCGCTCTAGGACCGAAATTTGAAGTGTTTTTGGACAATCTATCAAATTGTGAAATATACAGAACAGTCTGTCAATTTGTCTTCTTTGTGCTTGTACATGACTACATGGTGTCTAAGTATACTAGTTCTTGTAGTAGTAGTGATAATGAATTGTTCATGAAAATTCACTTAGCAATGCTTTTTCCTCTCATATTGTGGCTTGTTTGTTTCGACCTAAAATATATATATATATATATATATATATATATATTTTCAGGTAAAATATTCTTTTATTTTTACTTTATCGGTATTTGATAAAGGTTTATGTCGAGGTTGAGGTTGAGTCCATCGGGCGGGATATATAAAATAACTTGCCGAAAATTTATGTATAAGTTATTTTTGTTAAATTTTAATATTTTTTTTTTTTCGTAAATATTTTACGACAACCAAACATCAAAAAATAAAAATATATATTTTTTAAAAATTTTACAACTGAGCCTAACTTCTCTAGATTAGGTTGGAAAAGTAAAGAGCTGTGCTGCTGCTCCCCAGCTACAACAGACCAGCATTCAATGAAGCTGAGCAGCATCTTAGAATAACCATACCAAGTTTATTGTAGAAGAATGAAACCTTCTTATCCCATCTAAATTTAGAAGTCCATAAATCATAATCTTCACAAGGTGCTGCAGTCTGTTCCTTTGTCCAAATTCCATCCCTTTTTACTACATTTCCCTCCAAATTTATATATTAGTACTCATTCCCAATATATATATATATATATAAAATCCCAATAATTCCTGTTCTTCAATTGGAAGCTATATAAAAAAAAATTCCCAATAATCCCTGTTCTTCAATTGGAAGCTACGTCACAATCTGAGTACATATACATCCTAACCTTCAATTCGGAAAAGCTGTTTTCTTATTTCAAACCTGTGACCTCCAAGCCATAATAGAACTGTCTCTCTCCGTTTCGTTGTGGCTTACAAGTCATAATAGAACAACCTCACCATTGCGGTTGCTTCCAGGCTCGCCCTCAAATTGTCAAACTCAAATTAAAAAAAAAAAAAAAAACAGCAGTATTCTTTGTTAAGTTCCCATGGGGAAGCTTGGACTCAGCCAAGGACTTTTTTCTTGCACTCAACTTGCAGCTTCAGTGACTCACATGAACCTAGGAAGTTGGGAACTATTGTGGAGCAAAATAGGGCTATCAAGCTGTTTCATCCAAACTACCAACAGATCCTGGATGCATGGATACATTTTCTTTTCTTTGTTTCATAGGGTTCACAGTTTGAGGAGCCTACCCCTCACATGTATAAATAACTATTACAAGTGAGATTTACTGTTTAAAATGTTCATCATCAGTTGCATGATACAAACTTGTCCAGGATGGATATATTTCATGTCCAGAAAATATAAAAATTCCTATTAAAATCCTGTTTTTCATCTAGTCTGATACAAACTTCATAGAAATATAGAAGATAAGATGATCATCAAGAACTACAAGGATGGTGACAAACCAGAGGAACATGGCAAAACATTGGCATGCATTATTTATACAGGCCATCTAACAATTAATCAAAATATTTTTCAAAATTTCAAGATAAAAATTTCATTTTATGAAAGAAAAATCCAACTAATGAACAACATTTATCAGTAAAAAGATCATCACAATCTAGTTTTATAGTCGCTTGAAGCCAGTGTAGAGTTACAGTTAGTGATCTTACTTAAAGCACTCTCTAAAATGGCTTTATCTGTTGTTAAAATCTCAAATCTTATTTACATCTACTTCATACAGAGAATAACTCCTAACATTTTTGAAAATATTTCATACTATACTCTCGCTGAAGAAGCATGAATTCACACACACCTCTTAAAAATTAAATAAATGAAGAACTGAAAATACAAGAAGAAATTTCTACTCCACAATGCGCGCTCATAATAATGTACTATTCACATATTCCATCCTCGCAAGTTCTTTCAACTCCCTTCAGAGCGTCAATAATGAAAGACAGTTTTATGAGAGAAGACAGAAGCAATGCATTATTGCAGTCAACATGTATGATTGCAAATTAGCAATTGTTTGTACTTTGAATTAAAGAAAATTGATCGAGAAAATAACTTCATAACGATAGAGAAATTCACGATTTGTCATTTCAGTCACGGAAACGAAAAACATTTGGGTCTACACACCAAAGATTCCTTCCATGTCCATGCATCTTCTTTCCTCATGCTGATTTCAATCCCTGCAAAAAGGGAGAAAAGAAAAAGAAAAAAATTTGAAAAAAAAAGCTCATATTAATGAAATGCTGCAGCTTCATTGCTGATTCATCTAAATAATGTATGTACTCTTGTATCCTAAAATGAACCTAATTAGGCTAACAAATAATTCATTTTAATTGTTACAAAATGAAGCCTAAAATCACTTATTTTAATGCTGTGCAAAATGTAATGGACTATTGAATGTTTAAATTGTTGGGCATGTTGTTAGAGCTGCAAATAAGACACAAAATGAACCGAGAGCTTAAATCTACATAGCCACCTTTGTTTTCCATTTATAAATGAATGCATTAGCAGGTATATTTCGAATTGGACTCACCCGTTTCTCTTCTTCCATCTTGGCCTTGATGAATGAGTATATTGCAACTCCAGCAATCGCGATGCATGTTCCAATGGCGGTTTGTGTTGAAATCCGGTTACCTGTAAAGGTTGAATTGTTAGATATCTTTTGATTATGAATATTTTTGGTAAAAGGAATCCAAAGATACGATCAAGATAAATAAAAAATAAATATTTTTACCAAAGATGACGATTGAGAAGCCAATCACAAATACACGCTTCAATACATTCCCAACTGCGTGCGTGAGAGGTGCCACCCTCTCAAGGGTGTTGGTCGCTAACTGAAAAGCCAAAAACCAAAAATACTTCATCATCTCAATTTAGAACAATGCTACACCTTATCAAATAGTTATATGGAACTAGTAATTCGCTTATTGGCGAAAATGACATCAAGATTGTTGAACTCGGAGACTGTCGTGCTATTTAGATTACTTATGCAATAATTACATTATATCGCTTATGTAATAATTTTATTGTATTGATCCTAGTGCTTTTCATTAGCAAACTACAGCAGACGAAAGCAGAGGATTCTCTTCACAGGAGGGGTTCCGGATCCGAAAATATTTTTACTCTAGCTAAAGATCCGGTAGGGAGAAATTATGTAACGGTTAATTTAGTAGCTGCAAGAAGGATAAACTTCTAGAATTAGGGAGCTGGGAGGATGAGGGAAGGGGAAGATTAGCACTAATTTAATATAAAATGATATGTTACAGTTAAACCAAACGAAAATACCTGATTGTAGAGATGGTAAAACATTCCCACCCAAAAGAGATCTGTGACGAACTTTGTTGTACCCACTTTAGTAATTGCATCACTAAACCCATGCTTCATAAGTTTAGGTCCCTCCAACTGAATGATAAAAATGAAAAATTGAATACAAAATTTATTAATTAAAAAAGGAAAAAATTATCACAAGGGTACTCTAATGTGAGCTCATGATCTTCGCCATTGGATTTTGCAAGGGGTGTGCACACAATCCAACAACCGAGGGTGTGATCTCACACCCTCGTGACAGAATTATTCACAAAAATCAAGCAGCTCTACTCATTCGCTAAGCACAGTATTACTTACAATGAGGGCAGGTGGAATACAGACAATGAACGCGATTATGGAAATGTAGGCATAGAGATTAGTGCTATCCATATCGGTCTGCAACAAAACAAGAGTTGGTAAGTAGAAAAAGAGAATGCAAGATAAATTTTAACTTTATCACATTTAAAAGAAGCGTAAATTCACCATAGCTTTCTTTGAATATATACTCCTGTAAGTGAAGGAGATGTTGGAAATCATAGCACTGATGAAACCGGTCCAGTTGAAGGACAGTTCAGTCAATGATGCCATTGACACACCTGCATCCAGTTAGTTGTTAAGTCAAGCCTAATATGGTAATGTCATAATAGTTCAGGTACATTTTCCCGTATTCATCAGGACAGAGTTCAAAGATATTTTTTGCATAATTTACGGTTTTAATTAGTTTAAACTGAATCTGTTAACAGATTAAGCTAAATAGGTAAGTGTAGTTTGAACGCCAAATTAGTCCATATTGACAACCTTAAACATCAAAAATATTGACAACCAGAGAAAAGAGCTTGACAACCAGAGAAAAGAGCTTACCTAAGACAACAGGTAAAAGTGACAGCCACAAAGTGATGGGCAGTTGTTGTCCAAGAATGAATTGAGAAGCAGCAGCATTGAAGAACGGTTCGAGGGCTGATTCAAAACAAGACCACTATGAGTGAGAGATTTCATGGTTTTAAGCGCTTGAAGAAATAATCTTTGGTAATATAGTGAAGTAAAAAGATAAAATACTTCTGTATGTTAGCATGGACATTGAATTTCACCTTTGATGGTGTGGGTGAATGAGACTGCAACTGCTGCAAACGAGACATTGCTGGTCACATGGCCGAGTGCATGACACACAGCGACAGGGATGAGCAGCTTCAGGAGGTTTGCGTCCATAGGCTTCACAGAACCACCATTCACATGTCTCACATCTCATTGTGGCAACAATTATGTTTTTGCAACATCAATTTTTATCATATACTATGAGTCTTCTATCTAATAATTTTATCTCCAGATGAAAATTGGTAAGATTTTGAAGAAATGCGATTAATTTATCAAATTGAACTTTAGATACAGTGATATCACTACACTTTCTAATTTTGAATATTATTATATCTGAATTATATATACTAGATTTTTCACTTACAGCGCGTTTTGGAAGGCCCACAGCCCAGCTCACCAAACAGTACACCACCCCCACTCCCAAATGGATAACCGACACAAAGCTGCGTACAAAAATTCGTCACAACAATTAAATTTGATTTTTATTCTTTAGTACTTTTGTCATTGGAAAACAAAAAGAATATGTCCCAACATTATCTAGTACTTAATGGAAAACAAAATTAATATTTAGCTGATTTGTCTTCAATAGTAAATAAGTTGTTCGAAGGACTCACTATACTAGGATATAATTTTTGGTGGTGAAAATTTTGTTATTTGGTACATATAAAATGATTTATGAGTTCTCACTGACATACATGCTATGTTTGGAAGCACCTAATGAACTTCTTAGATTTGAAAATCGTAAATTTAGTGATCTCACAAGCAACAAAAAAATATATATATATATAAATGTCATGAATGATGGTTTCTTAACATTAAAATATAATTACTAATATAAAAGGTCCATTAACAATTAACAAAAGTATTAATGTCTAATATTAAAATTTTAATATACATGACATGATTTGTATATGAATTTTCATAAATTTTGATTCACTAAATGAGATTTAAGTAAGTAATTAGTAAAATAATACTTACTAAGGATAGGGGAAGTAATTGTAGATCTTCTTGTTGAGGATGTTGAAAATGACATTAAGAAAGTACCTGCAAGATGAGGTTATATTAGTAACTTTAATACCAGTAAGACAAGACTCTCTTGACCATAATTTTTTTTTTTTTTTTTTCCCTCTCTTGACCATTGAAAGTTGGGTAAGTTCCGGGTTTCTAACATGCGCAACCGCGGCGCAGTTTAGAGGACGCACGTGACCTACCACATGAAGAAGAAAAAACCAGTGACAAGCGCCGGGTACTTCTCGATGAACCCCACCGGAGCGATCTTAGCATCCCTGCGAAAACATCGGGTCAGGAAAGAAGCAATAATTAGTTCGGGATCCGGAAAGTTTCGGGTTATCGGATCATAACAGAGGAAACGGACCTCACCCGGCGGAATCGCCTCCCTCGGCCGGTGATGACGCGGTGGCGAGGCTTGGCCGGAGAATCTCGCGCTTATTCGCCGGAAAGCCAGTGTTTAACGGTGAGGATTCAAGGATTATAGCCGGCCGGAGCTGCCTTCCCCATAAGAGGTTGCCGCCGTCTCCGACGGCTCCGATCGGTCGGGCGGTCGCGAAGTGAACTGTGGTGAGCCGCGCTGGCTTTCTCAGCTGGGGGATTCCGGAGATGGTGGTGGTGCCGGAGAGCACTCGAGACTCCATTATTGTTAGAGAGAGAAAGTAGAGAGAGAGTAAAAACTGTGATATGGTTAGCTGGACTGAGCTCTTCTTACTCGTGAAGGATAGAGCGAGTTATTGAATTATCATGCGCCGATGAGTGGTCGTGAGGTGACGAGACTAACCGTTTTTAAAACTTTTATCATACTCATACCCTGCATCGCGGGCCATGGTCCATGATAGAGAAAATTAGAAACATAATTTTTGTTAGACGTAATTTTTGTCGGAGTACTAGAAATAGAAAACAATAATTTCCAGTAATTTCCATAAAGAAGAAAGAAGAAGAAATAATTAGATATTTAGCAGATATTATTAAATGGTTCACCAAGAGGACCGGTTAAATACATGTAGTATTATTATTGAGATTTCTTTGTAATATATACATAATTTTTTTAATAAAAAAGTCTAAATTGAATTGACCCACCAAATATTAATGAACTCGAATTATTTAATAAATTGAGGTTATTTAATGATACATTCTTATTGGATATATGCTCGGCTTTGTTAGTGATGACCGGTGAGTTTGGAATGATCCTAATAAGGTAGGAGTAAGTTTGAAAAGAGATTTTAAGTCCGCTTAGTCTGGATTTATATATATACACACATATTCTTTTATTAGATATAGTTTTTTTCCCCTTAATTTCTTATGATAAATTTAAATTTTAACAATATTTTTGTTATTGTCATTGTTAAATATTTAACCATACTTAAATTTTTTTTTACACTTGTTCAAGCTTGAATTATTATTTTTTAAAAATATATATATACATTGGCCTACCCGAGGCCCAAACCCAATGAGGAAGCAGTTTTGGAAAAATAAATATATTTGTGAAATGAATTTGGGAAAAGGGTGCCTTGTCTCGAACTCATTGGTTCACGTCCTTAATTGTTATCTTTTAAAGTAAAAGATGAAAATTTTAAATTTCCATAAGAGTGAAAAGCAAGCATGTAAGTCACTTGCAAAGGTAAAAAAGAAGAAGAAGAAGAAAAAAAAATAATAATAATTTAAGCATGAATTGATTTAGTGTTTGTATCCCTTTCAATTACTTACTCTATGCATTTAAAGTAGTGCAAGTAATTTCTAAAATATCTAGGACTTGATTTTTAAATTTTTAAAAAATATTCAAGACCTATTGGAGATATTTTTGTAGGTCTTGATAAGTTTGCTCGAACTTAAAAAAAGAATATATATATAATCAATAGAATGAATTATTTATTTATTTATTTATTTTATTATTATTATTTTTTTTGGATAGTGTGATTCAGAGAAGTCATTGGCTATGGTGGGTAGATGGGAATGATGAATCAAGATCTTAAATGAACGGCATCGGAATGTTTGGAGCAAGATAATAATTTGGATGGAGAAATATATGATTATGTACGGGGTTGTGTGGGAGAACTTATTGGGAAAAGGATATGGTAATGTAAAACTTAGGAGAAGGGGATATGGTTGTGGGGTCCATCTTATCCTCGAGTGAGAGGCTTGTGTGGAAGGGCCTGTCCTATCCAATATTTGATCCTGTTTTCCTAATTCCTCGTCACTTGCTTTCCCTATTCTTTTGTCAATTAGATTAGAAAAGTTTATGTTTCTAATATTTTAAGAATAATATTAATAAGAACTTTAGACAGTAAAATTATAATGGATTTTTTTTTTTTTTAATTCTTTTCTTTTAAGACCAAGTTAATGCTCCAGAGAGTGAGCTCGTGCACCTCGTGAGAACATTTATTTTTTAATATTATTAACATATAGGTGTAACTAATAATCAGTAAGGCACAAACTAGTGTTGTAGATTTGTGAAATGTTGGTCTATCTAACATTTGATCCACTTCTTTAATTATTTGAGCCTAATAGTAAGATTCTGACCTAACACTTGAAGGTCCGGTGTTTGACATCTCTTTGGGATCACTCCACACTAAAAAATAAATTATGGTAATTACTGGATGAGATTACATGTGTGTTGGTGGTGAATTATGAGTTATTGGAACCGATAAAGTAGCCCATTTGAGGAGCAGATAAAATTTTCATATTGGTTGGTGTTACAGGAGTATTTTAACTATTGTTTCATATTAGATAGGAATGAAATATATATCAAGTCTATACGGGCGAGTAAACAATACACCTAACAGCTTAAAATTTTAAATTGAATGACAAACGGTAGGTCCATTACAAATGGTAGTTGGGTCGGATGAGAGGCAACTTAATTCATTACAAGTGGTACTTGAGTCGGATGACAGACACTTTACATTTGAGACAATCCAAATGCATAGATTAAAATGAACACTTTTACCTAGCTAAAATATAAATAGAAAATGGAAAGCAAATGCATATAAACATTTATGTGGTGACTTTTGTGTTGATTAAGATGATTAATTTTGAAGCTTGAAAGCAAAATACTAATACAATGTCATACAACTTAAAAGAAATCAAGGTATTGATCACAAATGCAAAATAAATGATTTAATTTAAGCCCAAGGTTCAATCATTTACACAAGTCATTGATAGGCTATTGAAGTTAAGCCAAAACGTCGGGTCAATCGGCACTCCCCACCAGCTCACATGTCAAGTGGCCTGACCTTCTTGTCCTTGGCCACCCCATTAATTTGTTCCCCACTTTGAACAAGTACTATTAGAGGCCTCACACAGTCTCACTCTTCTCTTAGGGGTTTATGACCCTATTAACCCTACTCATGCAAATCCTTATGATGTGTGTATATATATATGGTTGGCCAACATAGAGATGTTCTTGTATTATTGGAGAGAGACATAAATTCGCTTTCTATGTGTCCTAGATTCCCACTGATGCAGTAACCATACAACATATACTCAGAGATAACGAGTTTGAAATATTTTTTCAACAAATTTAAAGTGAAGTACATTTGACTTTCTCCAGATTTGAGTGTTGGGAGCATGGTGAACAATAATGTTATGCAAGACAGTGAATAAGTATTTTATTATTCACTGTTATGAAGCTATGAGCTAGAATTTTTGGAGAGATGACTGCAAAGTTATTGAATCGTGTGTTCACTTACAGCTCTATCTCTTATGTTACCGTATTTGCAAAAATGGACATAGTCAAAAAAAAAAAAAAAAAAAAACTGAAAGAAAGAAGGGAAAGCGACTGAACCACAATGTCAAATGATACTAGGGATGTCAATTTAATAACTTATCTTAGAGACTTAACTAGTTACCCATTTCTTATAATTCTAATTTGGGATGTAAACTTAGTATTAAATTTACTTTTGTTTTAATTATGGTGGAAGTTGGAGCTTAAACTTCTTGTGATTTGGTTGTATTAAACTTTTATTTTTGTTTATTATGTTCTCTGAATTATGTTATGTATATGTTATTTTTTTTATTTTTGTTGGAATACATAATTTGATTTATGTTGTGCCATTCCCAGACTTTCCACATTTAAATAGCATGAGCTTAAGTTCTAAAAAGTGGGAGAAAAAAATTTGTTAGCGTGGTGGGCACGGAGGTACAGTATTTCCCAACAAGGCGGGGCTGGACATGAAAATCCAACCCGTCGCGAGTCTCGGGGCGGGCATGGACTTGACAAAAATTAAAAGGGGCGGGGCGGGATTTAGGGAAACCCGCTCCAAACCCGCCCCGTTGCCATCCCTAAATGATACCTTGTTACTATCATCAACCAATCATATCATAAGTAAAAATACATTTATTTTATTGAATTCTACTATTAAATGTTAGTATTTAATAATCAGTCGAAAATACCATATTGGAGTATTTTCCCTAGTAGATAGGGAAATTCTTGTTGCTTTTGTTTACACTGAGTTTTATTTTTATTCTGAGTTTTCTAAAATTACTTATTGAATCTGAAATGTTAGTGAAATTGGGCATGAACTGGTTAATTTTGAGACATTTGACTAAAATAGTGGTTCAATTTTAGAGAAAGATTCTTATTAATTCCTCTTCTTGAAACAGAGGAAAAATCATGTTTACATTTGAAAAACAAAGCTAAAAATCACAACATGAATAAAAACATAAATATAAGAATTGAACAAAGAGACAGTTTTTAATTAGCAAGTGAGTGGGAAGCCAATTCCATGGCGCTTTGTAGGGAACACGACAAACAACATACTGCAAATGACTCCAATCCCTACCGGCAGCGACCTGAGGACCTCCTGCGTCTCCTCCGATGGTGAAGGGTACAAACAGTTCACCACATTTTGATCAAACAGTGCAATAGCTGCAAAAACCGATATAGACATAAAGGCATGCATGAAATCGATAAACCGGAGCCGGTAATTCGCAGCGATTTCAGGTGGTAGAGTCCTTGACAATGAGCCATCAATGATCCACAAGCCCCTGAATGTGGCAAAACCATAACAAACATTTCCATTCTTGTCCTTGAAGCTATCTGTGAAGCAGAGGAAAAAACAGGACAGCCCACAGAGGGCTATGAGCCCGGAAGTCATGGACCGGCTCACCGGGTCACACTCACCCTGGTTTGTGAAAATGGGTGATAGAAGTTGGAAAGCAAGAACTGAGCCAGTAGGCAAAAGATTGGCTAGATGGGCTGTGCTTTGAAATGTCTGGCTAATGGCTCTTTGTATCGCGGTTCTCTCTTCTGTTTTCAGTAGGGTTATGCATTTTTCTTGTAGGAGAGGGAGTGTTTGGTGGTCATGATTCCAAGATCCCTCATTTTCCATCTTTAATTCCTTGGCTGAATTGGTTTTCCTTTCCCTTTTCCTTCTGATTTCGTTCTGGGGTGTCATTGCAATTTGGTTGTGAGAAACTGTTGGATTTATAAGTAGTGAACATATTATGTATAGATGAGTTGAGTGGAATGAAAGGGTGGCTAACAATGCCTTGCAAGAAACAGAAACCTTCACATAAAGCCTGTTTTTAACAGGATTTTAGAAGGGAAGTTTGCGTTTTTCATGTTTTGGTGCACAAAAGTAGTCCCAAAAAGTGCATAAAATTGGCAGTTTTTTGGCACTGAAAAGGGTTTATTTTGCTAAGTTTGTTGAATATGTGACGGTGTCTTTATGGTGAGACGTAACGGTTAGAGTTGGTCTCAAACTTAAAAGGCCCACTTTCTTATGTTGCTTTGGTTTTCTTTCTAAAATTAGTAAAAGATTTCTTTTGGATGTGGAACTCTTTTGTTTGGAACAATTATTAGGTACAAGTGACATTCCCTTACAAGTCATAACTTCGTGCTTGCTAATTTAACAATTCATGATCTAAACATGGTTGGTTGGTTTTCGAATTTGGAGTGAATCCAAACCAAACTAAATTAATCTTCTATGGTTTCAAAAATATTAAAACTCAATTGTCGGAAATAATGGAATCAAATTGTAGGTGCAGAATTTCGCTCAACCAATAATGATTGAGAAAAATAAACAACTCACTCAACAAACAATGAAAATAAACAAGAACAGTATATAGAGAAGCGTAGAATTGCTTGATCCCTTTATTGGAGGTCTTAGCCTCTATTTATATACAAAAAATTGCAAAATTATGGTAGGACTCGCGTTGCTTGCCCTCCAATTCTTTCCATATAAACATTCTTTACTAATAGAGTTCTTTCCATTGTCGAATTTTCCATACATAGAACTTGCCTTGTACAGAACTTCCTATCTCAGAGTTTTCCTTCTACAGTAAATCCTTCAACTGGTAGGACTTGTGAATTCTTGAATAACTGGGCTGAACATATTTTGATCCGGCTGGGCTTGAGTAACAGGCCGGATGTTAAATATTAACAAGCTGGGCTGATGACTTCTTGATTCGGCCTTGATGGAGGTTGGAGGACAAATAACAATGGTCTTGGGCTGTAAATACCCTCAATTTGGGCTTGAGCATGATGGGCCTTATATGTCCTTGGAATGTAGATATGGGTAGTGGTGACGTGTGCGCTTTTTATTGGAGGGAGTTTTTTTTCCTCCACACTTTGCCCCAAATTTCATTTTTAATTGAGCGACGGCTCCTATTAAAGAGGGAATTGAAACCGGTTTTTTACTTTGCTTCAGAAACGGTTCGAGATCTTTCATTATTACTCCGTCATACAAGATTTTGCAAGAGTTACATTTGCCCTTGCTGCACTTCTGCGTTCTTCATTCCATCGCTTTGTCAGGTTAGTTTCGCATCTTTCTCTTCAATCTTTCATTATGAGTACTTCATCTACTCCCGAACGTATAAACCTTGGGGATTCTGAATCCACACCTTCATCTTCCCCCGTTCGCATTAGGGCTCCCCCTCCTAGGGTTTCTACAGATCGCCTTTTGTTGAATCCATTAGGTACTTCCCCTCTTTCAACCGAGACATCTACCTCAGGCTCTGATTATGTTCTTACTCATGAAGAGAAGAAAGCAATCATCTCTATTCGCCGCATCAAGTTCTCTATTGCTTCGGTAATGGAAGAATTTGATATTCCTGAGGGAGTAGAAATTGCAGAATATCCCGAGGGTGCCGATTTTACCTCCGGTGAGGGAATTGAGGAGGATGAGTTGCTTCTTTCGGTAGGGCATCTTAACGCCCTCCGATTCCCTCTTCATCCCTTCTATCATTTAGTTTTCAATAAGCTGGGTCTTGCCCCCCTTCAGGTAAATCCTAATTTCTTTCGCATCCTTTCTGCACTGTTGGTGCGCCGAAAATTAGAGGCTCTGGATTTGACCCTTGCCGACGTTATGCTTACTTACAATATATCTAAGCATGGGACCGAGCCTGGTCGCTTCTTTTTTACCTCTCCCCTTCATCAGAGGATATGCACGAACCTTCCTTCATCCGAAAAGAAGTGGAAAGAAATGATGGTTATAGTTAAAGGAAAATGGTTCGTGCCCCAATCAATTACGCTCCCCATCTCGCGCAAGTTCGGGAAATTAGGTATAGAATACTTAACCTCCCTTCATACCAAGTGTTCTGGCTGTTTTCCTTGCCAAGTCTTAATGTTTCGCCGTACTTATGAGTTTCTTGGTATTTTTTCAGCTACATTCCCATCCTCCGCAGTAAGGAATAAACTTTCTTTTCTTGAGGAACGAGTCTGGAGTGACCCCTCGCCTATCGAGGACCTGCTAACTTCTTCAAACCTCAAGGATATTGCCTTCAGTGCTGTTGCTGCAGACCTGATGGATCTGTCTCTACCATCCTTTGACAGTTTCCCCATGACTGAGGAGGAGATACGGAGGGCTGAGGCTTTAAAAAAGAAAGCCGAAGATGCCCAACCCTTGGTTGTTATTAGATTAACTGAGGATGAGGTGGAGGTTGAGGAACCACTAATGAAGAAATCTCGCCTCAACCCCTCATCTTCTGGCAAGGGCAAAGTCCCTTCTAAGAGCAGAAGGAAAAAGGCTGGAGAGGCCGAACCTGAAGATGAAGTCAGGGCCTTTGTTCTGGCTGAGACTGGGGCTCCTTGGACTACTTCCTTCACCAGGGCTGACAGGTCAGTCCTGCACTCAGGGGATTCTGTGATTACAGACCCTTCAGCTGCACTGGCGGTGGCTCGAGGAATGTGGCTCCCAAAGGACGAGGAAGCCATCAGCCAAATGGGGTTGGAACAACTACTCCCCTCTGCCCCGATCCGGGCCATAGAGGTTCGCATTGTTCCTTCAGAATTATGTTACTCTTGCTTGCTTATGTTTCTACTTATGCTTATATTTGCTCCCCTGTTAAACAGAGTCTATACCACACCATGGCCCTCTGCGCCACTGCTGAAGCTCAATCCCTCTCCATCAAGAAGCTGGAAAAGGATCTTGACAATGCAGAGAAGAGAGCCACTACTGCCTCTACCAATCTGAAGATAGCTTCTGAAGCCAAGGATGCGTATAAGAGGCAGTTGTCAGCCTCTGAGGCTAAGTTGGATTCTCTTCAGGCCGAAGTTCAACGCCTGACCGAGGCTCTTATTACTTGCTTCAAGGCGGGGAAGCAAATGCAGGGGCGCTACTCCTGTCTGGCACACCTGGCTAGTGCTAAAGCGTTCCGGTCTGGCTATAATCAGGGCTCAGGCCCTAAGACGATGGATCCAGACGCTTTTGACAAGCAGGTGGGGGTGCACTTCCCATACGATGAAGGGCCAGAGGCTTTGGAAGCTGAAATCCGCTTTGCCGAGATGGTGAAGGCGCACCTGAAGGGTACTCCTAGCTCTTCTGCTCCTGCGGCTTCAATTCCTCCTACCCCAAGTCCTATTGTAGTGGATGCTTTTGAATCTACTCCCTTCGATCCGAAGAGAAAGTAGAATCATGTATTTTGTTTTTATGGACAGCCTGTTTGGGATAATGAATATAATTTTTTGTTTTAGGCTTACCTGACTTGTTTTTGCTGTATGCTTTTGATACTGTTCATATTTCTCTGACTGGTAATGTGTTTAAACAATAAATATTGTCTTTATGCTTCGGATTTATGCTATCCGCGAAAAAGCAAGGATGGTGGGAAGAAGGAGATCCTTTTAACAGTTTAGTTGATATCTCAGGATGATTCATATGGACAATGATTTAACTGTTAAATGAACCCTCCTTGCCTTTTACTTGCCTGCAGTAGACGTATACATACTCTTTCCTTCTCGTGTGTTCCTGATGTGGGGTGGATCATGATGAACTTATGATATATCCACATCCACAGGGTATTAAACACTTGGAGTCCGGAGGAAAGAGTTCTGATCCAGGCACCAGAGGTCTGAAGCGAATTATTCCTCGGCACTGAGTGTGGAGGAATATTGCTGAATAGGACACTTAGGGTCCAAATCTGTCTCGGACACTTAGGATTCGAGGCGAATTGTCCCTCGGCACTGAGTCGTGGAGGACTAGTGCTGAATAGGACACTTAAGGTCCGAAGCTGTCTCGGACACTTAGGATCCGAGGCGACTTATACACTCCCTGGCGTAGAGCCGGAGGGGAGGTTTTGCCGAGCCGGACACTTAGGGTCCGAGGCGAGATTTTCGCCGAGCCGAACACTTAGGGTCCGAGGCGAGATTTTTGCCGAGCCAGACACCTAGGGTCTAAGGCGAGATTTTTGCCGAGCCAGACACCTAGGGCCTGAGGCGAATGACCTACTCCCCGGCACTGAGCCTGAGGGGAGGTTTTGCCGAGCCGGACACTCAAGGTCCGAGGCGAATGAACTACTCCCCGGCGCTGAGCCTGAGGGGAGGTTAAATGAATTACTCCCCAGCGCTGAGCCTGAGGGGAGGTTTTGCCGAACCGGACACTCAAGGTCCGAGGCGAATGAACTACTCCCCGGCGCTGAGCCTGAGGGGAGGTTTTGCCGAGCCGGACACTCAAGGTCCGAGGCGAATGAACTATTCCCCGGCGCTGAGCCTGAGGGGAGGTTAAATGAATTACTCCCCGGCGCTGAGCCTGAGGGGAGGTTTTGCCAAACCGGACACTCAAGGTCCGAGGCGAATGAACTACTCCCAGGCGCTGAGCCTGAGGGGAGGTTTTGTGAAGCTGGACACTCAAGGTCCGAGGCGAATGAACTACTCCCTGGCGCTGAGCCTGAGGGGAAGTTTGTTTTATATTTTTCCTCAAACCACTTATCATGAGGCCGAGGATTCAAAAATGATAAGAGGCCAAGAAAGCGAGTAACAGTGGCTGTGAAGTTTCCATTTGTTGACTTTGGAGACCTGCCTCCTCCACTGATACTCCCTTCTTGGCAACCAAATGTTGTGGACCACGCATATATGAACCGCATTTCTTTTTTATTTCTATCCGATGTGGGACATAGACTAAATTTTGTCAAAAAGGTCGGTGTAAGGAATGCCTCTGGTATTGAGCTTGACAGCCTTAAATACTAATGGGCTCTCCTTACACCGTAA